AGGAGATAGTTCCTGAATTTCCTTTTCAGGTTGGTTATGGAATGGTAATCTGTACAGCTCTACAGGCAAAAGTGAAGGTGCATACTAGGCTGAAGTAAAAACACAGCACAGCTTTTTTTCTTCCCTTCCCCAGTGGCTGCTCATTTATCAGTTTAAAATGTCCAGGCTTTGTAAGGTGTTGGGATTTCTCCAAACTCCTTTTGTTCTAATGGATTTTTGAGTTTCATCAGGTGATCTTACAGCTGAAATAAAGGACTGTGTAGAGCAAAGGACCATGTTAGATTTTGTCAAGAAGTGTATTCCTTCAATGATAACATCTCACTAAAAACTACTGTGTTTAACTTGTGGGTTAATACGCAGATTTTTTTACTTAAGGTAACTGTATAGCAGTAATATTGAATATGAAATAAGAAAACTGGGATGTTAGGAAATCGAGCGTGCAGACAGCTCAATTACTAAGCAAAGCAAATTCAGCTGAAGATGTGGAGCTTGGATTTCTTCTTTGTGCTAGTTCATGCTGACTTTGCAAGCAAGCTTCTTTCTTAAATTCTGATGGCCTTCATAACGATAGCCTTAAAGTTCCCATATTTTGTAGGTGCCAGATACTGATTTGTTCTTAAGTTTTTTAGCCACATCCCTTGGCAGGCAGTGTGAAATTTGTGGTGATAAATTACTGCCATAGTACAGGGAATGGAATTGCAGTTACTTTTCTAAGCAAATAATATAGTACTCCTTTCTGAAAAAGGAAACTTTAAAAATTGTCTAATCCCATGCAACAGTTTCTTCCTTCACTGCTGGAGTGGTCTCTGTCAGACAGGTGAAGCTTTAGAAATGTCAGTTCAGCTGCAGCGGCTCTGCTATGTAAGAAATCATGTTGGGGGGGTGGGGGGTTGTGGTTTGTTGTTTTGTTGTTGTTTGTTTGGGGTTTTTTTCCAAACACTTGCATACATGGTTTTTCAGATTGTTGTTATTTGCCAGTATGCCACTGTTTGATCCTGCCTTAGTCTGTTGATAGCAAGACTTCTGAAGTAGCTTTTTGCTTTCCAGAGAAGTAGCATGCAGAAATCTTTTTTTTTTGTTGTTTTGACTGAGGCCTTGTCAGCTTGAGGATTTTATAAACACTTCTACAAGACAAAGTGATTAAAATAGTAATATATTTCTAATGGATTCCTTATTGTACACTTATTCATATTCCTAGGTGCTCTAACAATTGATTTTCGTGCATGTCTGTATGGAAACATCTTCTGGGTTGTTCTATTTGCTTTCTTAAAGAAGGGCTTGCTCTTGTTCTGGGTGTATGAACCAGGAGAATCCTGGTGGTTATGTCTGCTTTTCAGTAACATTCTTTTTTTCTTTTTTTCTTTCCCCTTTCCACTGGAAGCAGGATAACCAAGCAAAAGCTTAAAGAACAAAACATACTCCCCTGCAAATTGATCTCTCGTGTTTGTGTGGCTTCTCTCAGTCTTGGCAACCCGAAAAACCGTCACACCCACCTCCTAATCTGTTGGTCTCTTCTGAAGATCACAGCAAGCTGTCTTTCTGAGGGTTCTTGTCCTCACAGGTTACTGTAAAAACAGGTTGAGGGTTTCTCTCCCCCTGGGGTACAATTAGTTTTCAATTTAATGTCTTCATAGAAGAATAGCTATGAAGAATGTTAGCTACACCATCTGTCCCATCTATATCATCTGTCACTCTGCTTCAGACCACCTCTGTTAGTAAGAAAAGATTTAATTTTGCTTGTCAAAACAACTTCAGCATTTCTGTGTTTTTTAACCACTTAATTAAAACTAAGAAAAATGAAATTTTGTGAGGTGTAACCATTTGTGAATGACAGTGTTGTGTGGAGTGGGTTTTTTTTTGTTTTGTTTGGTTTTTTTAAGTACTGATTGGCATGTATCTTTTTGGGTTTATTGATTTTCTTTAGTCGGTGGAAATTACATTAAGTTAGAATTGGAAAAAGTGCAGTAAAAACAGGAGTGAGAAGAGATCTCTATCTAAAAACATTGCAGAGTATGACGAGCAGAAATAACTGCCTGTGGCAGCATGGGATACTTCATTAAGTTCTTCAGAGCTCAAAATATGTTCTGAAATTTCTTCTGTGAAATTTAGTTCAGTGTGCAGAAGGAGAGCTAATAAACTGTAAACTTCTGTTCTGGAACATGTTATTTGATGGAAAATTGTATTCCTATGAAGACAGAATTAACTGCTCTATTGTAAAAACATTTATTGTGAGCAGCAGAACTGTAAAACCTAGTTCTCTGTGAATTTGTTGTTTTTCCTCTTTAGCATGTTAACATTTGGGTGTCCCAGCTCTTTTTATCCTTATTGACAGGGTTTTTTACCAGGCAAAAATAGTACATACTTGATTGGACTAAAGTGGCCAAACAGCATGTAATATCAGAGTTCATGTGTTTCGCTTTGGTAGCACTGAGCTTGGTGTCTGTCTTAGCCACTGACAACTTACAAAAAGTACAGAAGAGTTTAAATTGAACACAAGGGGTTCAGAGGCAGTTTGGGGGAGAAAGGGGGAAGTAACAGATTGCACAAAACTCACTTCCTCAGCTAAAACTTAAATTATGCCTAAAAAGATACTGGAAAGTGAAACATATTGCATATGTTTAATCTTCCTGATTAGTTAAAAATGTGGGAAATGAAGGTTTAATTAGAGATTTATTTATTTTAACTTGTTTGAGAGACTGTTTTTCATTGGGTAACCATCCTCTGGGGAGAAGAATACAAAATTACAGAGTAAAATGAGCATGTAGTGGTCTCAATCTACAAGGAAATGTTTAACATCTTGTGACTCTATTGTGGGTGATTTACAGGGTGGGGTTTTTTGTTCAGTGGGGTTGGAGGAGTTTGGGTTGGTTTGTTTTAAAATAATCTTTAAGCAGTTAAGTTTCCTGACCTGGTGCATAGTATTGCCCTGTCTACTGACAACTGTTTTTTTTTCAAATATAATTTATTTCTTCAAGTCTTGTGGCAAATCAAATTGATTTTAGCATTAGCATGTCTAACTGGCCATCTTACTGTAAAATGTGGAAGTCAAGTCCCTGAAACCACCTTAGAACTGGACCTTCTTGTATGTTTGAGCTTTTTATATGCTTAGACCTTAAAATGTAACTTTTTGATTAATTTCTCCTTTCTGTTCCTTTTCCGTGATTTTCCCCAAAATATATATATTGAAGATATTGTTATAAATTTCTTCATAATTAAAGGGCAAACCCCTTATTTACTGTCAGCATTTAACAGGTGTTATTGATGTACTTAAGTACAAACATTTATTGTTTTTTTCATTACATCTTTTTAGTGTGTTTCATAGTCTTAAGAAGCTTGCTTGTGTTACACTGTTTTTTAAAAAGGTGCCTTTTCTAAACCGAAGATGCTTTTCAGCTTTTCCATGAAATGGTAGTGATGTATGTTCACAGAGTCACCACCTGTCATTTTCTGTGTGTATGTCAGAGTTTAGCCCAGTGCTTCCTCTTTTTGGCATGATGGCTGCATCAGAGCCTGGTGGGTATGAAATATGAGTATCAACCAATTCCCTTATGTTTCTTGCAAGTATTCCTCCTCATCTCTGTTTGGGAACAGCTTCAATTATGCGGATAGTGGTGGAGCTCCATGTACAGTGCAGGAAGTGAGGTGTGCTTGCTTAAAGCATTTTTCAACTGATATTAATGTTCCACAGGGGGCTGTGTGGGTTCTGAACAGATGCAGCACTAGTGTAGCTCTATGCAGCATAAGTGCTTTCCTTTGCACTCCCCTTTTCTGTGGCATTTTATAGCAAGCTAACCACATCTATGAAATGTAGAGGCATGAAGGGGTATCTGAACATGATGACACACTGGCAGTGGTATAGCCCCTTCAGTGTAATGTGGTACCTCAATTAAAAGAATCGTTTTTCTCATACATGGGTGATCTCATTGTTTATTGACAAAATGGTTTTTAGTGGCAAAATGTGCAGCTTGCAGCCAGGCATTGCTCCCTCAGTTATGCTGGCAGGTAAAAGTGCTGATGCTGCTGCCAGAGAACCGCTGATTCTGGGTTATTTTAAGCCAGGATTGGCTGCCTGGTGTGGTTACAGTCAGCATACTGGCATAACTAGGGAGGCACTCTGGGGACCAGAGTGACTGAGTGGTGGCTAGGGACTGCTGAGATCAGCCCAGCTATTAAAATATGTTACCCATAATATTTAAAAAAAAAACCCAAACCCTAGAACCCAAAAAACAAGTTGCTTTTGAGCATGCCCATTACAACCAAAACCTCAGTTTGCCTGCTAGCACATATCTGGCAAAGTCCAAGCGGTAGCAGCTGTGAAGAAGTTTAAAAATCAAGTCTTTAAGTTCTTTCTTTTTAAATTTCAAGTTGGCTCGCTGTATTAGTTTGTATTTGGCATAAAACACTGTTTCCTCTGCCAAAACTGTCAAACTGTGATAAGTATATAGTCCTTCATAGGTGGAAATCCAAACTGTCCCATTTACCTGCAGCAGCACTCATAGTGAAAACTTGCTGAAAGGAACCGAGAATGTTTTATGAATTTACAAGGATAATCTGTAGTTTCTTACTGACTTTCATGCCACTGAATTAAGAATTACTGTAAAATAGTCAGATAATACAATTTCTGAGCATGTTATAAATTTATGTGTATCACTTAAAATATACTTGCAGAAGTGAGTGTAGATGGCTCTAAGAAGCTTGGATGGCCTTCTGGTAAAGTTTGTAAGTGGCATTAGCAGCTAATGCTTACGCAGATAAGTAGGCAGTACATAGTCACAACAAGGAATTAGACCAGATAAATTTATTTTTATGTTTGTGTATGTACATAGTAATAACTTCAATATTATGATTTGTAGGACCTTGACATTTTTGAGGTGAGAAGCTGGATTTTGGCATTAATTACTATGACGACTTCTTCAGAAAAAAATAATCAAATATATAATATAAATTGAGGTTTTATTTAACTGCATCAAGAGAGCTATATCACTCAAATGCTGTTTAAAATGCCGGTAACAGTCCAGTTATGTTTGAGGAATGTATTAAGCCAAGTAGAGGTAATCTGTCTATTTTATGCTTGTATTAGTGCTGTTGTAGATGCACAGAATAAATATGCTATAAAACTAGAATAATAAATTAATATTACACCTACCAGTTACCATTTTTTGTCAGTAGAAACAGGATAATTTTTCTTTGTGAAAGCCAACACAGAAGGGTGTTAAATAATTTCACTGTCTGTAGTAAAAACAAGCAAGAGGAAAAGCAGGAAATGGCACTAAAATTACCTGAGGAAATGAAGCTTCTGCAGGACTTCTTGTCCCTGCCTAATGTCCTTTTGCCTGTTTTGGCCTCGGGTCCTTTTTTATAAGAAGGAACAGAATGGTGCCTATAAGACTTGTGAAGGCTGGCAGCAGAGAAGAGGGAAAGATGTACAGGACTTGGTTTGTTTGTTTGCTCAGTGGATTGGCGGGATGGATGGTCATAACATAGGCAGCACTTAGCTGTGGTCACAGCGTGGTGCCTGAGGTAGGGTTGGTGCTGTAGGCAGAAGAATTGAGCAACAGAGAATACAAATCTCTGTAGGAAACCAGGCTTTCCTAATTTTGCTTCTTACAGAACAACTTGCCTGTCTCCTACTGTTAGGTGTTGTTAAACATGGTTATACATAGGCTGAAAGTGCTCACACTAAAGCTATTTATGCACATATATATATGTGTAAATATATAAAACATCCTTTAAAATGTCTATAGTGTTTTAGTAGAGTAGTACTTTAAATTCTTTGAAGTTGGATCTGTTTCCAGTACAAATGTTCATCTTAATAAACCAGTCCACTCTAGTTAGAGTAAACTTTTGAATGCTTTCTGTGAGTGATTAACCCCTTTGACTTTTCACTTATGGGATTTTCTGTTTAAATTGGGAAATGCTTTTGGTGTTTTAATGGTGGTATTTTTGAAATTGCTTTTAAGTATATGAAAAAAAATAACAGCTTGGCAGTAGTATAATCAAAAATTAAGATATTTGAGGACAGCTTAATTGTTATCTATTACCTTGCACTATAGAAGCACACACTGTTACAGCAGTTCAGGGATCTGAAAGGAGATGCATACCAGTTTACCACATCCTCATCATCTTTTGCAGTTGTTCTTTAGGTTACTTGTCTAACATTGTTTATGAAGATGTAGGCAAATAGCTCGTAATGAATACTTGTAGTTTTTAAAATAATTTGTACAGGTTGTTTTTATTTTAAATGGATTGTATTTGTTACATTGCCTTTTCTTCTTCTAGGAAACCCAGCGCTTGCTGGCAGAGCCGGTCCCTGGGATAAAAGCAGAGCCAGATGAAAGCAACGCACGTTATTTTCATGTGGTTATTGCAGGTCCACAGGATTCCCCCTTTGAGGGTGGGACATTTAAACTTGAACTATTCCTTCCAGAAGAATATCCAATGGCAGCTCCTAAAGTACGTTTCATGACCAAAATTTATCATCCTAATGTAGACAAGCTGGGAAGAATATGTTTAGATATTTTGAAAGGTAAGTGCTACTTTGTTTTCTTTGTTTTGATCTTTCTAAGTATGGAAACTTGACCCTAAAAAGAGATTTAATTTGTTTAAAGAATACATTATTCTTTAATCTGGGAGAAGAAAGCTTGCTGTTTCTGTAGACTGTGGTGAATCTGGTGTTTCATACTGCTGTAAATGTCTCTTCAGATAAATGGTCCCCAGCTTTGCAGATTCGTACAGTTCTGCTATCAATCCAGGCTTTGTTAAGCGCTCCCAATCCAGATGATCCATTAGCAAATGATGTAGCTGAGCAATGGAAGACCAATGAAGCCCAAGCCATAGAAACAGGTGATGTATCTTACACTTCAGTTTTCCAGTTTTAGGATGTAGCTGATCACTAATTGATTGGGGGATAGGAACCCTGACCTCTTCCTTTTCTTTCTGGTTTGTTTTTTTTTTTTAATACCTGCAACTTGCAGAAACAATTGTTGCATACGGTCATAGTCCACATACCCTGAATGTGCCTGCAGTGGTCTGTTTTCAAGTCTGTGAGGCTTGCTAGAAGAAAAGCTCTCTTGATCTGTTTTATCTTGAGTTTTCATGTTCCTGCATTGCACGCATGTCTAATTTAGAGGTAAACTGATTTGTGGTGAACGAAAAGAACACACTGCTGTTTTTCCTTTAAAGCTTAAGAAATAGATTATCTGGTTTCAGAAAGCACATCTCTTCCATACCTGCTTCTGCAGGCTGTAGTGGGTTGAAAGAATAGCTACATTGTGCTCCTTCACTCTTGGATCCACTGTAGTCAGGCGACTTCTGTATATTATAGAAATTTACTTCTTGCTGGAGTTCAAAATTGCACTTAAAATCTCAGAATTGATATATTTTATGAACTTGCAGCAGTGGTATAAAAGCTATTTTAAAAAATAAGTATTTAAAGTTACTTTAATAAAGCTTGAAAAATACATCTTTTCTTTAATGTGTTTCTCTTTCTTTACAGCCAGAGCATGGACTAGGCTATATGCCATGAATAATATTTAAATGCGCTTTGAACATCAAGTGTGCATCACTTCTCCTGTTCTGCCAAGACCTCTTCCTTTTTTGTTTGCATTTAATGGACACAGTCTTAGAAACATTACAGAATAAAAGCCCAGACATCTTCAGTCCTTTGGTGATTAAATGCACATTAGCAAATCTGTGTCTTGTCCTAATTCACTATTGTACCGCATGAGCAGAGGCTAGAAGTATCATCTGGATTGTTGTGAAATTGTTTGAAAGCAGCAGCACATCTCTGCTTTTAATCATTTTTCCTGTCATGGTTTAAGTATAAGCACTGTGAATGAAGGTAGGCAGGGTTAGCTGCGGGGCTTCTTGTTTTAATTTTGTGGGCTCCTCCTCCCTTTTGATGGTGATGCTAATTCCATTGGTAAAAGCAGCTAACCAGTTATACTTTAGAATATACCCTCTAGCCCAGTCTAACTTAGATGCTGTAGACGGACAAGCTTCATTGTTTGAACAAAAAATGGGAACATTAAACATCCATCACCTTCACTAATAATATTGTGATTCTGCTGTCAAGTGTAGAAAAATCCCTCCAAGAAAAAGCTTGTGACCATTTTGTATGGCTTGTCTGGAAAATCTCCTGTAAATCTTATGTTTTAGTAAAATATTTTTTGTTATTCTACTTTGCCTTTGTACAGTTTATTTTGCTGTGTTTTAATTTCTCTAATGTGACAATCGTATTTAAAAAAATTGAAACCAGAATTGACAATTTGCCTTTACCAGTCTGACAGATTAAATGGTAAAGAGGCGGAATTCACAAGATTTTTTTTTTTTTTTCCTTCTGTTTGCTGACTTCTTTTATTAGCTTTTGTTATGTGGGTGACCTTACCTGGACAATTTAATGTTAAAGTGCATTTGGAGTGACTTTCAGAAACAAGTCTCTGATGTAACCATTGTAACCATAATTTTAGTAGTGCATTGGTATGCATTTTCATGGAAATAACCATAATCAAGTAGGAGGTTGAAAGCAAATGACAGCACTAATTATGAGTATCTGTATAACTTCTCTTTGCTGATTGCCATCAGATGTTAGGCTACACAGTTTTCTAACTTCTTTAATTCCTGCCCTCTATTAACATGAAACACCAGTGTGTAGAACCACTGTTAGAGCCAGCTTGTGTATCGACTGGTTTACGTAACCCCTTACAGCTAGCACCTCATACCGCTGGTTTTCTCTCATTAAGCTGCTTGCTTGAGCAACCAGTCTGCTTAAATAGCAACAAAGCTTCTTTATTGACAAATATCTTGTCTGGGAGTCCAGCATCTTTTCTGGGAACCCATGTTATTGCTTCTGTTAATTTCTTGTATCTCCTCCTTTTCCCAAGCCCTTTCCCTCGCCAAAAAAAAAAAAAAAAAAAAAAAAAAGCGGAAAAAAAAAGCTCAAAAGCTTTTGTCAAGGCTGACTTGAAGTGTATAAATGACAGCTTGTAGTGGTTGAAGTAGGAAGTATTTTGTCATGCAATTCAGGGGTATGGTTGTGTAGTCTATTGATATTCTCTCTCTTTCACCTCTTCTTACTCTAGTGTCATCTGAAAGTTCTATAGAATGTGGTGTATTTATTGTGCTCTTATGTAAGATGAAGAATATCTATTAAAACTACGTTTTCCAACAGACAGTGCTTTCAGTGGTTAGTAATGGTATTGTCCCTACAAGTACTCTGTAACATGGTTGAAGCTTGGTTCAGAATTCAACTTTTTCACCAGACTGAGCTATTAAAAAATAAAACTGTTTAAAAAGTAGTTTCTCTGTTGAATGTAAGACAAAGATGCATTTAGGGCTTGTAACAAATAGTTTGTTGTCTAGAGTGGGTAAGTGCCATTAACCCAGCCTTCTTGTTACAAGTGAGCATGTGTTTGCATTTAGCTGGCATACATCCTGTATGTGCTATTAACCTGGGCAACTTCTGTGGCAGGCAGATGAGAATGTGAGCTGTGTGATAGACCCTGGATTCACTTCACCTACCTCTTAAAGCTTCACCTTACACTACATATACGGCTTTTTCTCAGCTCTGTCTCTAGTCCAAGGATGAGTGGCACCCCCAGAGGACAGTCAGACCCACCCAAGCACCCCCTTTAAAAGTGGCTCTCCCTTTTTTCTGTAGAGAAACTGGACCTGAATTGGCACTTACACAATTTAACTTCAAACGAGGTGGGATGACTCCAGACCCAAGGTCATTTAGCAGATGCCTAGGTGTTTGTATGTTCAAGGCTTCAAACTCAGCTAGAGTTGGCAGCCAAGCCAAGGATGTAATTAAAACTTAGTAGTTCTTGATGGAATATATTAATATATTAATAGAAAAAAATCTGCCTCCATTTGCTAGTGACTGAATAAAGTGGATTATAGAACTGTTTGAGTACACAGCCAGTATGCATCTGGGTTCTTTTTTAACTATCTCAACAAATTTGAGATTTTATTAAAGAAGTCCATGCTGTCTGAGTTTGAACATATGAGTCCATAGTAATGGTATATCTGAAATAAAGAGTGTAAAAGGATAAGTAAAATACTATGTCTTAAAACTCTTTAGAGTATTTCCAAGTGATAGTTGTATGAGGGAAACTTTAAATGGGCTTCCTAAAAACTAAAATTTGTTTGTTGTGGGGCCTATTCAGGCATGTTTTAATCCTTTTAAAGTTGTTGATGTTATTAAATAATACGTATTTGACTTTTAAACCTATTTAAGAGTCCTGTATATATAAAGCCAAGCTGGGAATTTCATTCTATCTTATGCTGAGGAATGTGTGAAACTTAGGCTAAATTCTTTGAAGCCAGAGAGAGAAAAGTTTTTCCTCAGTAAGCAGGTGTGTATTCACAGCCATTATGTGAAACTCGGTTACTTCTGTTGGATCTTCCATTACAGCTGGTTAGCAAATGCAACTATCTTTTAGGGAACATTAGTTTTATCTCCTTTTTTAGTGGATGTCCATTGGATAAATTTACAGTAAATTTAAAATAAATAGGTTTTCTCTAGCATTACTGGGGCTATGTGTCAGATGCCCTGAAATCCTGAGCAAGAGGGGTTACACTGCATTTTATATGTTTGTGTCTGGATAGTAACTGTAGCTGTTGAGCCTGGGTTATCACATGGGCTCTAAAACCACATATTCAAAATTCATTTGCAGTAGTTTCCTTTAGATCAAGAGGAACATTTGAAAGGCTTTTGCATAACATGTTCAGTGGTGGTCTCTTAACATGTAGCCATGTTCTGTCATGGGTGTGAAGTGTGTTATCAGTGGGAGCTGATGGAACAGGTTTTTTGTATTTTAGCTAACTTTAAACCAAGTGAAATGTTGCTTCTGTAGCTTTCAAGAAAGTGTATTTCCAACACATTGAGATTATTGTGAAACATCTTAATGGACTAATAACATCAAAAATTGTGACATCTCGATTTATGTACATTCCTTCTTGGGATTTTTTTTTCTTTTTTTGGAGGGGTTACTCTTAAAATGTCTGGTAGGTTTTGTCAGTAACATGTCTTGACTGTAATGTAATATGAGGGTGAAATAAAAGGAAGAGTGACTATTCATTACATAGACACTGATCTTCATTTAACTGCAGTGGGCCGCCATCAGTGTGCAATAGTTTCCCAGCAGGTCTTAACATCTTTTAAAATAAGGAAGATAAACATTGATAACTTCTCTGGTAACTCAGGTTCTAATTGCTGTGGCTCTTCCCCCCCCCCCAAGCCATCAGAGAATACTGCTCTGGTGCACAAGCTCAGAGCATGCAGTGCTGCTTTTTTTTTTTTTTTTT